GACTCAACTTGTAGACACCTGAGTGCAAATTGGTACCCGAGGAAAAAATTGGAAGTAAAAAAAGAAAGAACAAAAAACAGCAGAACAAGGCGAAAAAATTCGTCAAGTTTCTTAAGCCCTTAGTCCAAAGGCCTGTAGGTAGGTTTGTCTAGCTCGTTAGGATTTATTATATATATATATATATATATATATATATATATATATGAAGAAATATAATGTTAAGATGTGCTGTATTTATGGGATAAAGTGCTCATTATCAGAGCTAGAGCGTGTTTAAATATAAAAGTGAACATAGAAGTCAACGCTTAGAGGCGACATTCTGTTTCATGCTAGATGCAATCGTCAGGCCTGTCGCCTCTAAGTGTTGACTTCTATGTTCACTTATATATATAACAACTTATATATATAACAACTTATATATATATATATAAGTTGTTACATACGGGCAAACAAATAAACTGGACAAAGATGTTCCTCGACTGATGAGATGTTTACGTTTAGGCATCGAAACAATTATGCCTTTTTGTAGTGTTTATCTGTTTGTCCGTATGTAACATTGCTCTACTCTTGGTACTGGACCTTCTTTTAAATGAATGTTTTGAGCGTCTGAATTTATATTCTTTTTGATCTCATTACTTTTGGATATATGTGTGTATATGTGTGTGTATGTGTGTGTGTGTACAGAGACATTTGGTGATATCTTCTGACGAGTGGACAGGACAAGTACACAAAAATTCGACTACGAAACTTCGGAGTAGAGGTGCTGAATATAACATCAGTCAGCTAAGTGACAAGTTTTATATTTATATTAATCATATATATATATATATATGTATATATATATATATATATATATAATATATATAATGATTTAAAGAAAATGAATTTCTTTTTGTATGACCATTTTTTTTTTTTTTTTTTTTTTTTTTTGCAGGACCTAGGTACCTTTCGGCCAACGCTTCATCAGGGTCTTTCGTTGGCAAATGATTTTAAACAAGCAATGGAAATGAAAAGAACGCCAAAATGATATGGTTGAACACGTCTAAAATTTTACGAAGATATATATACGTAAATTAAAATAAATTTACGATTAAAATAAATGCGTAAATAATGAATTAAATGAACCAACCTGAGCAGTAAAATAGAAAAATAAGTTGCTCATATATCAAAAAATAAATTTAGCGATCGTGAAAAATTCTCCTTTTGTTTAGAAAGCGATGGTTTAAATAATTTGAGGCAGATGGCTTCCAAAATAGACAGATGATATTTGGACCTGCCTACCCATATAATGGAAAACGAGTCCATTGTGAAACGTTTTGAGCATGACTCATTTTCTAATAGGTGTTGTCCGATCGCCGAATCGTGAGCTGATTGCGAAACACGAACGCGACTATCTAAATTAAATCTAATGTGTCTGGGTACATGTTGTCCGATTCTTTATTCCAAACGAAATACATGTTCGCCCTATATATTCAGCTTCGCACTGACATTTAAATTTATATATAATCGAACTTTTATTATGATAGGGCAAACGATCCTTGGAAAAAGACGGAAAAACAGTACGAGTACCAAAGACAACACGTACCTTGGCCGAAAAGAAGGTAGCAGAAACAACATCCGAAACTTTATCAGTCAAAAAGTTTACATTTTCTGCCCAGCCAAGGTAATTTCAGATAAATAGGGCAAAGACCTGGGCCAAATTTTGGGGGCATATTGAAATTCTCTATTTTCCGCTTTATTGTGCGGTCAACAATGTTGGCTGGAAAACCATTGTTGATATATATATATATGTGTGTGTGTATTTGGGAAGCATTCCCTCTTTATACAAGTTTCATTAAAGACGACTGACAAGGTACTGCGATTATCATTATTATTATTATATTATTATTATTATTATTATTTGTAGTTTTTCTTGCATTCCTACAAGTATTTTCTTTTATGGACATGAATTATGTAAAAATTGTCCAAATGTTCTATATATTCTGGCGCTTTCGGCTATTCATTTAAACATTATCAAGGATATTTTTTCGTTTTTTTTATTCTTAACTGATTATGTAGATTTTATATATGAGTATCTATAGTGATGGGGATGTTAAAAAAAATGAATGATTGTTTTATTTCCTGTTTTACTTTTTGATAAGACAGCAATATATATATATATATATATATATATGTGTGTGTGTGTGTTTGTGTGTGTAAAATGAGCAGAGCAAGACTATTTACATAGGGTTTTAGGAGTGATTTCTGTCATCCGGCATTTTCTATTGTCAGGCAGTGATCGTGTCTCAAATGTCCCGGATTAAAGATGTTGGACAGTACTTAGAGCATTTGGAGACGAAAGGAACTATGCCTGATATTTGGACATGGAGAAAAACTGCTAAGAGTCACACGAGACAGGATGTTGTGGAGAGTCATGATCACCTGTGTCCTGAAGGGACGCGGCACATGGTAGTTAGCACTTTAGTTGAGAAGGAAGTAATGGTCAGTCATGTGCCATGCGTGATACACGCTTTGGCGATCGTCGATACATGACTGACAAAGGCAAATTTTTGTAGTGTTTATCCCGCAGCAGGTTTCTTTCTGCGTTAGACCAGTTGCCATCCAAGGCAATCTGTTCTGCTATTTACCAATAGCTGGTGGGGGTGTGAAGAAAAGGATTCATACCTTTCCCAAGGGTATTAGCACGTAAGTGAATGTAATGGATTCCACTGGAATTCGAACTCGGCTCTCCGATTCCTCAATCCGAGCCGCTATCCATTACTCCTTGTAATCATAATAAGTAATGGTGTGAAGTGAAAATAGCATGAATAAGAAATAACTTTTATTGCATAATCGTCTTAATCCTTACAAGCACTACTGGATTCATTATTTTGCTTTTTTTTCGTAATGTATACCTCGGTTTCACTGAAATAGATCAGAATTAAATTAATCAAAATGGAGTATTGCTGCATTATGTGGTCATCGGCTGCTAAAGTTTTAACTTTTCAACCACGTTAATCCCAGATCGGGTACGCGGTCTTGTTCAGGGGAATTTATTTCCACTCTGCAGCCGCTTTCCTCACAAACGCAGTGTAGCTCTGTTACCATTTCCATGGCAAATACTCAGATCCTTTACTTCCACCAGCTCAAACCGTTATAAGCAGACATCACCATGTTACGTCCACGGAGTCGAATCAACAACGTTTCTCTGTATTTCACTCATAAAGAGAAAAGTTCCATTCAGCTTTTCCCAAAAACTTCTTTGCGGATCAGACTCCCGCGTAAATGCACTACAATCTTAGCCTCTTCAAGTCAATAGTTATCAGTCCTCCTCATTTTCATATTTAGTCCCTTCTACCTCATTCAGTAACTTTCTACATTGAGTGGCACATGAGCCATGTATTGGGTGAAATTTAGTAAAAAAAACATTGTGTAAAAGATCATTATAACTTTGGTTACGTTATTGCACGCAATATATAACAAATTATCAGCGCATTACATAAAAAAAATCTGCAATGTTACTAGTCCTGACCTGGCATCCCGGTTTCAGTTACTTTCCCACCGGCGTAATGTAGCTTCCCTGTGTTTTTCTATAAATAGGTTCAGGGTAATTGTCTGGATGCTACATAGACTTTATGCATTTAATTTCTGAATTTAATAATATTTTCGTTCCTCAGATTTTCTCACATTAAGTAAACCTTTGCATCTTAGTGACTTTATTGCCTTGAGGTGAAATGATTAAAAAAACATATTTTTATGGAATATTTTCTTATTTTGAGAAATACATAAAAAAATAAAAAGCCCAGAATCTCGCTACTGCTAAAAATATTGTGAGGAAGCACGGTGGAGTAATGGACAGCGGCTCGGATTGAAGAATCGGAGAGCCGAGTTCGAATTCCAGTCGAGTCCATTACATTCACTTACGTGCTAATAGCCCTTGGGAAAGGTATGAATCCTCTTCTTCTCCCCCACCCCCAGTTAAATAGCAGCATCGACCGGGTTCTATAGCCTTGGATGGCAACTGGTCTACGGCAGAATAAAATGGCAATCTATTGCGGGAAAAAATCTGCCTCGTCAGTCATGTATCCCATGGCATATAACTGAACTGACTATTACACGCAATAGATAACAAATTATCGACGCATTACATAAAAAACTGCAATGTTATTGGTCCTGACCTGGCAACCCGGCTCCTTTTCCGACTGAGTCTTTTCTATAAATAGTTTCATGGTAATCGTTCGGATGAACTTTAGGCTTTAAGAATTTAATTTCTGAATTTAATAATATTTTCTTTCCTCATATTTTCTCACATTCAGTAAACCCTTGCGTCTTAGTGGCTTTATTACCTTGAGATGAAATGATTAAAAAAAAAACATATTTTTGTGGAATATTTTCTTATTTTGAGAAATACATGCAAAGATAAAAAGCCCGGAATCTCGCTACTACTAAAAGATTGTCTATCAGAAATATAGACACAAACATATGCGATCTACCAAGGTGTTTCACTCAAATTTTAAGTTTGATAACGAGAGTAACAGCTTCTGTGGCTACAACAAGGTTTGTTTGCTCAAGTGTTTACTCACCCAGTCATCACTATCAACGAGTGGCGAGGGTCGCATAATCGTGGCGTTTTGTCAGTGCAGGCAGAAATCCGATTCCATTGCCGATAACAAAAACATTAGTGAAAATGGATATCTCCAGCCAGAATACGAACTCTTTTCCTCGATTCTGTTTTTCGTACTGATAGCTATTACGCCACGCTAGCTTGAGACGTTTTAAGAATGTGCACTTAATCGCTCCGTGATTCCATTGCAAGGAAGAAGTCCAACTCGGACATCTTCTCCTCATCCCAAGAACCGCTGCTTTGTGGAGCAGACTCCCGCGTAGATGCTTCCCCTTACGCTACAATGTTAACCTCTTCAAATCAAGAGTCAATTATTACCTATCTCCTACTTTTATAATCATATCACACATCTCATTCAGTAATCCTCTATCTTGAGTGGCTCTAGAGCTTTGTGGGATTACGGCCATATCACGATGAAACACCGGTTCCTCTTACGATCACCGCAGTTAAGCAACGTCGATCCTGGTCAGTTCATAGATGGGTGACGCCTTGGGAATAAAAGGTGCTGGAAGCCTGGATGTGCGGTGGTGTAATGGATAATAGCTCGGAATTATTAATCGGTGGGACGGGTTTCAATTCCCGTTGGGTCCGTTATATTTACTTACGCGGAAATACCCTTAGGAAAGGTATGAATCCACCTCCTCTCCCCTCCCCAGCTATAGGTTTTAGAATGGATTTTTTAATTAATACGACAGATTTTATCACTTTAAATATCATTTTTAGTGGATACTCGTATTTGAGTAGACGCTCCGTTTATTTATTAAAAAGTATATTTATGTTTATTTATTTTCATCTACCGGCCTAAATCTTCGAGAAATTTTTCTTTAATAGAGCCGGTAGACGAAAATAATTATACAGTTTAATAAATAAACGAAATCCTTCCAATAAAAATAGCGTTTAAAGCGATAAAAATGGGTTAATTAATAAGACTTGTATTTTCTTCTTTTATGTGCCGTGTCCCTTCAGGACTTAGGCGATCATGGCTCTCCACTTCTTCCTGTCTCTTGTAGGTCTCAATAAGTTTTGTCTTTTTGTTATTTCTCCCAGACTCTGTTCTGCCATGCACTTGCTTAACCCCGTTATGTCACGCGTTGCTTTCCCTTGTCCATCTTTCCCTCCGCCCCGTGAGTATCAGATTTTCCAAGCCCTTCTTTATCGTTACGTGTCCAAGAAATTTCAGCTGACTCTTTCTGATATTAATTATAAGTTACTTCTTTGTTTGCATCCTCTCCAAAACCTCATCGTTGCTCACATGTTCGGTCCATTGTATCCTTAGCATCCTTCTGTAGAACCACATCTTTCTTGCCTCGAGTCTCTTTGAGGAGGCCGTCCAACACTCACTGTCGTAAAGGAGGACAGATATCACGTAGCAGTACACTTTACTTTCGTTACCAATGAAATCCTCCTGTCTCGTAATACTCTGCTTAGCTTTTGGAATGCATCTTTGCCCATGCCAATACGTTTTCGGGTCACAGCATCGCACTTACCGTCCTCTGTCAGAACATTTTACAGATATTTAAATTTCCGCAACTGCTTCATTTTAGTGTCCCTCATCTGTAAACCGCGTTTCGGGCCCAAAACTCAAAACTCAAAAAAAAAAAAAAAAAAATTCTTACGATCTAAAAATATTTTCTGGCTTTAATTAACCTGCACAGGGTTGATAAGCCGTGGGAAACGAATCAATAAATCAATCAAAACTTGAACTTTTTATTGGGTGGGTATTATTAATAAGTGAGTTAGATTTGGTATCATGTCATACGTAGGGTTAATCAAGTGTAGATCGAACTATCTACAATGTAGTGAAGACCTAAGAGTCTAGCTGAGGTATTTATCCAAACGCCTACTCAAACAGAATATGGCACAACGCAGAGTCTAAAGTGTGAGTCCAACGCGCATATGGGACCAAAGTGATTAGTTGGTCAATTTAGTCTATGAATCGCTTAATTTGTCAGCGCCACAGGACGTGTACGATATAACAACGACTTAGTAATTTAACCTTTGACTTTTTATATTATAGAAATTCCGTCGTTGTATTTTACGCGATTCATGTATTAGTGAGCGTGATATCAAACGACCTTGGCAAAAGTAGTGCCGAGTTCGACTAATAAGCAGAATTGGTTGGGAAATTCCTTTGGCATTGTTATCGTCATGATCGATCAGTAATTAGTCAAATATTTAAGATGACAAATCATTTTATTTTGGTGTTTTTGAAATATAAACACCAGCTAATCCAAATCGTTTCATTAGCTTCGTTTGCTGGTATCAGTTTGTTTTGCAGTTTCCATGAAGCTGCAGTAAACATACTTCGCTACGCGGCCAGATATCAAAAAACTCTGAGAAATAAAATGACTCGTAAGACGTTGCTAATAATTTCGTTTCTCAAGCAAACTACCCATGTGAAATATCCGTTTTTTATGGTTATCGTTTATTTTTCGTTTTATACAAAACGATTTTGAAGACGGATCTGAATTAAAAGGAGAAAAAAAATCTCTGAATCACTTGACAGAAGAGATAATTGTTTTCGTACAAGGCCGCAAATATATGGCGTACTGAAAGGACCAAAGTAATAGCAGGAGTGATGGTCTGCGAGAATAGCTTGCAGTCTATTGCACTAAGGCGATGTTATGAATAATCAAGAGTGGTCTCCCCTTGTTTCGTTACTCTCCTCTTTGAGAGAGCTATTTTCTTTTTACTTGGACTATAAAAGGACACTATACATTTTCTTAAAGCCTACGCCTGTCATTACATTTGTCATTACAGGCAACGAGAATCTGTTATTCTTTTTTAAATCAAGATAGTGGTCACTCTGCACTTTTTAGGTTATAATTCTTTATGGCTTTAAAGAATTAAATAAACTCTTACCAAGGAGCAAAATTCAGAACAACTGTCATTAAAATAGTTCACAATTGATTTTCAACCAATATTTTGTTCTTAATAGCGGGAAGACATCTGATTTCTTTTATGGTTCACACGCATTTTAACTGTACTTCAATTCCTTTCTGGTAAATGCAATGCGATGATTTTTAGTTTAAAGGTTGAGTTAATTTTCATTTTTGTTTTTATCGAGAAGTCCTCTTTATAACATTTTTTCCCGATAAGTCCCTCTCTTTCAACATTCTGACGGGTAATAAACTATGCAAGGCAAGAGGTTCACCCATAGCAATTTATTGCATATAAGTCACAGCCTCTTATTCCAAAAGTAGACATGGGCACCTCGGCGTGGTGTAATGGTTAACAAATTTGTCTCGCTAGAAAAATTACGACTGAATAGTGAGTTCGATCCTTATTGGATGCCCCATATTTTCGGCTTTATGCCACATCTAAGCTATGCTTGGAAAATCACTATTCCAAAAGTAGACAAAAATCCCAGTCTCATATAAAATTAATTAATAAAATTAGATGTAAAGTCAATTCACCTGTTATTATATTAAGATAACATATATTGTCATTATTACTTTTCATTTTGAACTAGTTCCCGTACTACATAAGTTTAAACGTGCTACCAGGTGGGCATCTCGGTCCCACCCTTTCACTGTCAAAACGGTTAAATGTAACCGTCTCTTCTACTATAACAGCTTCTTCTCTCGCACTTCCCGTCTGTGTAACTCCCTTCCCCTTATTTGCTTCCCCGATGACTATAATCTTCAAATATTCAAGTGTAATGTCAATCGACATCTGACACTCTGATCTTGTTCCTCGTCCTTCTCTGTTTCCTTTCCTCAAACATGCCTCTTTACTCTTGTAGTCAATCCTCTGTAACTCCTTGCGTGCTAGTGGCACAACCGTCTTGCTTGGGGTGAATTGCCTTAAAAAAATGTTGAATTTTCAATGTTAATTTTGTTTATTACAAGACTGAGATTTTGACCACTTTTGGGATAAGAGGTTGGAATTTTATCCAGTTAGCATTAATTATATATATATATATATATATATATATATATATATATTAGGTTGGTGCAAAAATAATGACGTAATAATGTCGTTTTTTGACGTATTTTTAACGTCAAAACGACATTATTACGTCATTATTTTTGCACCAACCTAATATATATATATATTATTAGGCAGCATATATTTCATTCGAAGATCCATGTCTCCATCATCAGGCTGTAATTTTTTCCTTTAAAGTTAAAACTTGAAGACGAAATAATTGTTTGTAGACCGAAAGATGTTTTTTTTTTTTTAAGAATGTGCTATTTATTGACGATTGTACAATCTCGGAACGTGCGAGACATGGATCTTCGAAAGTACTTACTTAACTTAAAAAATATACACTAGAAACATCTGACAACAGTTTTATAAATGAGGATCACATCATTCAATGGATTAACAGTATATTAATGCATACATTATGTTCTACTAGCGAAGTGATTTCGCCATTAATCTCATTAATATTGCTGATTGATTTTATGTATGATTATTTCTTTATATATATATATATATATATATATATATATATATATATATATATATATATATATATATATATATATGGACGAGATTTTAAACAATGACAAAGTCAACAAGTTTGTGTGTGTGGCGTGGGGATCTAGAGAGAATCGAACTCACTATCATATGCAAGACGAGCTGACTAACCACTGATACACGGTGGTTACCTTCGGGTTTGAATAAGGTAGTGATATTTCTCAAACTATTTCCGGTGGAGTAATGGATAGCGGCTCGTATTCGAATCCATTCCATTCACTTACGTGCTTATACCCCTTGGGAAAGATATGAATCATCTTCTTCTCTCCCCAGCTATGTGTAAATAACAGAACAGACAGGGTCCTATAGCCTTGGATGGCAACTGGTCTACCAGCAAAAAGAAATGGTAACCTACTGCAGGATAAAATCTGTCTCGTCAGTCATGTATCGAAAGACACGTGATCGCCTAAGCGTGTATCACGCATGGCACATAACTGACTGACATAAGGTTTAGCTAAATGCTTTCTTTGGGGCTCCCCACCTACAATCATAGCAAAAGTAATAGTTTCCAAAATATTAACGTGCTGCAGTTTAGACGTGGAACTCATTAATAATGGTCTGCAAGTCCAGCTTGTTAACCTTTACACCACTATGAATTCACGTTATTTAAAAGTATGTTGGATCTTCTTTGTAAATATATTGTGCCTTAGCACAATAACGCTTTTTACTTCAGATTATAAATCTTTTCTATGTCTTCCTTACAAGTTGATCTAATTTTTCTTCTATATTATAAACCGTTTAAGTTTAAATACTTATTTACTAAATATAATTAATTCTGTTGAATTGCTAAGCGTGAGATACGGAAGAAGAAAGATGAGTTCATCTTTCAAGTGATTTGAAGCAGTTTATTTGTAAAAAAAAAAAATCAGTATTCTCGATTTGAAATAGGTGCCGACAACGGACTCAAGTGGTACGTACCTTAGATATTAGGAAGACTCTGCCTACAGTATAAATAAATGGAGAGCTGTTACCTCTCTCACAAGGAAAGCATGACTTGAGAAAAACTACTCGGAAATTCCTGAACTGA